ATAGAATAATAAATAGAAAAGACTTTTAAAAAAATATACAAAATGAAATATATTTGAATAAATAAAAAAAGCTCATTAAAATAAAAATTATATTTATTTGATAGCCTATGGATTTTAAGAAACTTCATTATTATTTTATGTTGATATACTCGGTTTTAGATATAATCTATTTAAGCTTGGAGTATAATAAGGGTATTCCTAGAAAATATAGTTGATAGAGAGAGAGGGCTATTACAGTGCTGGCAATTTGGTGGTGGCTGCTTAGTGATCAGAAGTAAATGAGTAAGAGTTTCAAGGTATTCGTATAAAGTAATGCTGACCTACTAAAAAGATTTTATTATAATTCTGAAAGTAAATATGTAACGAAACATTTGTACTATCTGAGCATTACTATTCCGGTTTGGTCACCTTATCATTCTTCTGATAATGGTTGATCTATAATTTCTTTGTACACATAACTTCAATACCTTTAAAGTGCTGAATATCTTATACAAAACAACTTTGCGTTATTACCTAACACTAAAAACTATAGTATATATTTTGGCAAAAAGATATGTAAATTCTATACCATCAGAAGTATGTACAAAATGATGTTGTGGTTTCAAAATAGGAACTCCATTATCATTCCATAGGCTGAAACCCTATGAAATTTATCATTTCATGATCAACTGGATATTTAAAATTTGTTTTTATGTTATTATTATTAATTTATTATACGACATAAAATATGCATCGTTGGGAGTGTTTTTGAATGAGTCTATACCCTCCATTTGCCAATTGTCAAAAAATTAATTCATTGCTAAAATACCTATGAATGACTTACTTGGGTGGTCTGGGAACGAAGGATATAAAAAATAGATTATTTTGGTAAGGTAATAAATAGGTTTTGGTAACCATTTTTTTTTTAATTTTCGCTTAAACATTAGACTTGTTTGATCTAAGTTAACATGTCCAATAAAATCAAATGAGTGATCGTGATTTTTAATACCTCATGAAATAGGCAAAGTTTACCGATTTCCAGATTGAAAACGCCCAATTTCTAAAATTTTAATAAAACAAAGAAAGTGTTAGTTACGATAGGATGAAAATATTCACGATGTTTTAGATGGATGTTAATAATATAATAGAAATGGTAATAAGACGTCAGTGGTTGTCAAATGCACCACAATGCCCACTTGTTAGAGTAGTTCCCTCCACAAGCACTATTAGCAGTGCCGTTATATTTTATACTTATTGTAAAATTCTGACTTTTCCCATATATCAACCCAAGTCGTTGTTTCTCAGCCATAACCTTCATACTTTTACAATTAAGACTATTTTTCAAATGGATATTTAAGAACTGAATCACAAAAGAAAAATTAAAAAAGTTATGGAAAAATTCGAAGACTTCATATCACGTTTGATTTTAGACCATAGCCTTAAGTTACTTTTATAATACTAAAACCGATTCTGCAAATAGGTATAATTTAAATAGATACTAGATAAATAGATAGACAAGAGTGGCGAAGAACAAATGAATGGAAAATCATTATTATTTTAAATTAAAATAATGATGTTTTTTAATAAAACATGAAAATCTAACTTACGCCTCTCAGGCTCTACAACAGTATTTTACTACATTATCTGATTGCTTTGAGGTTTCGAAAATCCGACTAAATCATCACGTTTCACTATTTCACTGTCAAGAATCACTGTACGTTTACTCCTCGACATACGACATACTCTCCAGTGCTTATTCACAATGCACAGATTCCACCAAGAGATACTGTTCACTACATTTCTTGGTCTGACAATTAATGGAAAAATGATATGGGGGCCACATCCCACGAAAAAAACACTAAATTAAAGCCTAAGATTTTTAAATTCACTTATCTGTAAACACTCAAAACTAAAACAGAGAAAAATTAAACTATGGCCTTACTTATTAAAACTTATTTAGATCTGCGGATCACAGATATTTGGAACACCCAAAAAAGTCTCAGATTAACAAAATTCAAATCTATCAAACTTAAACATTCAGGACAATTACAAAAGCATCTTGGTATGTTAGCAACGTGACCTTACACACTTACCTTCACATGCCGACTATTAAACATCACATAAGAACCTATTACAAGCACATCGTAACATATTATAGAAGACATGGCCAAAATACACATAACAGGCAACATCCCTAAAATAGCTTAAAGGAGCTGGATGAGGGATGTCCTCAGCTAACAATTAATATACTCGTAAATATCAGGCCGGATGAAGACTGGCTACTGTTTCTCTTCATAACATTTTATTTACAAGAATGAACATCAAATTCAGTGATTGTTAATCATTTCTTTGATAAGTGTGAATAAAATAATAAGTTTTAAAACAAATTTTAAATATTATTATTCATATGACATAAAATTACAAGCGTACTCTTAATACCAACCGTATTTGAATAACAAAGACAATTTCTCAATAATCATAAAAAAGTACTGGAATATACTTGGAATCCAATCTAAAATGCCACAATGGTGAAGAACATGGATGACATATCAACTTGCCAAATCTTCTAAATGAATCAAATTTGGAAAACATATCCCTCAGCGTTATATGTTTTTAATTGAACTAATGCTTTGAATTGAAGCTGATCTAAAAACTTAATTTGTTTGTCGACAACTGTTGACAATCAGCATATGGTCTGATTTAAGTAACAAAACTGACATATCAGGCATGGGGAAAGATAGCACCCAGCAGTACCTCTTCCCTGGCTTGAATCAACTGGCATGGTTTGTCAAGGAACGGGATCTCTCATCCAGCGCCTTTTTAGTCTCCTCCTCATATTGATGGGTACGTCAGCTCTTTGATTAGGATGTTATTATGCCCGTCTAAATTATTGTGAAATCGTCTGTAAAGTGTTGTTATTTGCTGGCCAACTGTAGGTAGCAGGAAGTTTGTATGTAAGGTTCTGTTTGTCACGTACCAAGGTGCTATAGTTTTAACTCGTAATATTTTTGATTGGAATGTTTGAGGTTTGTATATGTGAGCCTTTTTACTATACTGTATATCAGTGAGAAGATGGTCCATATTATTTTAAGTAAGTATAGATATGTGTTTAGTTTCTGCCTCAGTTTTAGTTTCGTAGATTTGGAAAAAAAAACTGAATAAAGTAGTTTAAAACTAATCATGATATTGATTGTGCAACTTCTGAATAAAATAAATACAATATTACAATTGAAACTGGTGATGCCCCCTGCAATGCAACAGCAACTATTACGCGCTTCTTTCCAATGTTACAGGATAGCCTATCCCAAAAATCAAGGCGTTACTGAAACTCCCTTTCTTCAGTTTATTACTCTCATAAATTACTCACTCTCATTATCGCTCATTCACAATTATCATTTCAATAACATAATAAATAAGATAATAAAAATATTAATTTTAAGATCATTGACTGTAATCAGAAATTAATTATCCAAATGCTTTCTGTTTATAAAAGAATGATATTCTAAAACAAATAATATAATCAGGCATTATTTTTATACATAGTTTATTCTGGTTATTTATTAAAGATTTTTTTTTCTCTTTAATTATTTATCCGCCCTGTCATGGTGTTGACAATCAGCAGATGTGTTCTCTTGATGAGGATAGGCATTAAAGTCAGTAAGTGATTTTGTAAATTCATTGAGGCTAGTCTGGGGTTATGATGTTTTGTTAAAATGGTTGTATCATCAGCGTAGGTGGCTGTCAATGTTTCCGAATTAATAGGTATGTCATACATATATATAATGTATAGTAAAGGAGCCAGTATTGATTCTTGAGGTACTCCTGCTAACATTGGTCGCATTGAGGAAATTTCTGTCGGACAGAGAAAAATCTGTCGAAAATGGAAGATTGGGGAATGAGGTAATATGTATGAGGTAGTAGTGTTTTGAGTTTAAAGTCCCTGGTACCAGGATTTAACGAATGCCTGGGCAACATCCAGAAACACGCCGGTTGCGTGTTGTTTTTACTTTAGTGTTCCAGCAATGTAGTCAGTAATTCTGTGTAATTGTTGCGTTGTTGAATGGAACGTACGAAAACCTAACTGATTGTCAGGCATTATATTTTGCTCCGTCACTATGTCAAGCAATTTTTTGTATATTAATTTTTCGAAAAGTCAAGAACATATTGGGAGAAGACTTATCGGTCGGTGGGATGAGAGATTGAAAATGTCTTTGTCCCTTTTGTGTATCATTTTGATGTGTAAATATTTCCATTGTAGTGGGAATTCAGCTGTCCTCAGGATACAGTTGTAAGGAACACTAGTGCTTTCCTTGGCATTTGCTGGAGCGCCTCGGAAGTTATCAAGTCATAACCTGGGGCTTTACTTTTGGGTAGATGTTTCATTTTCTGTGCAACTTGTGAAGGAGTGAACGAGAGAGGTCGTCTTGTTTAGAGTATTGGTATGCCTAAAGTATTTAATACAATAGTTTCATGTTCTATGTTGGTGAAGTCAGTAAATGGTGTAAATAACCTATCATCTTTAGATGGTCAGCAAATAGTTCAGATTTTTCTTTATGATTTTTCTCCTTGAAAGCTCATTTCACAACTGAAGTGTCATTTATAGAACAAGATATTTCTTTTTCATCGCAAGCCGCTGGAATTACAAGGAGATCTCAATACGGCCCGTGGATCAAAAAGTTTGGAGACTCCGTGTTTATGCTAATCGGCTATAACATTCAAAATCTTAAAATAGGGAGGAATACATTTGGCCGGCACTTTTAGAAATCAATATTTTTTTCTTTTTCATTGATTACTCAATAGAAATGATGTGTAATTTATGCTGGTCTAGATGACAGAAGGTTTCCCAATTTTCTCTGTTTTATAGTTAATTTAATGAAAAAAATATTATCCTAATTCAATGTTTTGTATTTATTAAACAGGACATTTTCTCTTGGGTATATTTAAAGGAAATTGCTTATTAAAATATGCATATAAAGAAAACTAAATAAAAACATGCACAAGTATTGGTATACAATTACTAATTATACCCACTTGTAACTGTAACTGCCGTCAGGAGTCATGGAGTTGGAGTACTGTAGGACGGGAAGAGAGTGGACGGCCTGCTGCTGCGGTATGTGCTGCTCGTCCCTCACCGCCTGCTGCTGCTGGGCCTGGACCACCTGCTGCTGCTGCTCTTGGACAGCCTGCTGCTCCTGGACCTCGGCGGCCGGGGCTGCTTCGACCACGTGAGCTTCGTGGCTCTCTCCCGAGACCTGCTGCTGCAGGGCCTGCGCCACTGGGGGTCCCGGCTGCTGCTCCTCCTTGCTGTCCGCCACCGCTCTAGATTGGACCACCGCGTCCTGCCTCCCCGTGAACAGAGGCCGGTACACTCCTGGGCTCAGGTAAAACTCCTGGTACAGCGGGAGGCGCTGGTAGTCCACGATGTAGTGGCCGCGCTGGCTGGCAGCAGCCGAAGCGATTAGCAAAAGCTGTGAAGTAGAAATGTACAAAATTAGATTATCTGTTTGTTGGATTGTTCTAAAAGTAAATACTAGAAAAGTACAATCCCTATTTAGATCTAGTCATCCCTACAATCATGGCCGTTAGTCAAAACGGCAGTGGTTCAGTGATCTTTTTTAATTATTTATACATTGGAGTTATGACAATGGTCAGATTCTCCACTAAAGTCTTAAACATCTGTTGCTCTAGTGTCCTCTCTCGATCTCCACTGGTTTCCGATACCTTTGGCGTGGTTAGGAGCAGTGCCTATTTTCTTTCCACCTGTAGAGGACAAACCTTGACTCCACTATTTATATTCTTGAGTTCCCTGAAGAATATAAATATAGTATATAGGTATGACTGCGTTTTATTTACTTAATTTTTACTCAGCTTCAATTTATTATTTTAAAATATAAATTAACTTTATTTTATTTTGTTTATTTGCTCAAATTATTAATATGTTTTCCTTTCTGTAGGTACATATATGTACAAATTGTTAATACATGTTGCCCTTCACTGTGGCACATTGTGTTAACACTCAATTAAACCGTTAAAATAAAAAAGGGAAAGAAGGGCTAGATACAACACTCTGTTGTGGTATACAAACGATTAAGTTATAGTAATCATCAGATATTCTTCTCAAGATTATCGTGTAACCAATTTATTATTTTTATTTAGAAGGTACAAAGAAAAAAAGAATATTTTTGAAATCTTAAAATAAAAATTGATCTTTGAATAATTCGAAAACTACCATACACGTCTCCTGGAAAATGATAGGTATTCGTTTGAATAATAATAAAATTCTCGATAAGATAAAAAGAAATGTCTTCTAAATCCGACCAATTGTAGCCAAGATACGTTTTTTTTTTTAATGGGTATCCGTGTTTTATTTTATATGATTAAACATATTTGTATTTATGAATTGTTTTATAATACTTCATTTTATTTAATTGAATATTGTTTTATTTAACGTTAAATTTAAATATATGCAGCTGGTACTATTCTTTCTTATTTCTATAATGGCATTTTACAAGTTTTGTTTTTTTCATTGTCAAATTCATGATATATGCGTATATGTTCATAATAGCTAATAGACGCGGATTAAGATTTGCAGAGAGAAAACAAAGCGAGTCTGTTAAAATTAAGTACGCCTTAAATATGTAACAAAAGTTATTATATGCACTGTAATTATCTTTAGCAACATCTTTAGACTCTTACTATGATAAATAAATACTAATAATTCTGGCTATTAAACATTTGCAGGCGAAGCCGTTTATTAAATATTAGTTAGTCTAACAATATATTTCGTATTTATGAACAATTAATGTGGAAGAAAAACTAAGTGATAGAAAACTTAAAGAGTGATCATATGAATAAAGACTTAAGTGGCAATTGAGTCTAATATTATAATAATAAAAGTGTACTTCTTTTCTTCATTTATATTATTTTTTTCTGAATTATATTAAACTAAAAAAGATCCCACTATATCCCAAACTATGTACATCGTAATACTCCATCGAGTTGGCCTGACCTAATATAATTATAATTTTTTTCAGGTTATATGATTTTCATAAACTTCACCAATAATTGAACTAATTATCATTGTCCCTTTTATATCTTTATTCTTAAAAGCGTTACACTCATAAAGTTCAACGAAAATTAACTCAAATTGAATGGACATAATTTTTATAACATAACATCAAAAAGGTATCAGCAATAATTTAACAATAATAGAAAAAAAGAAAAAGTGAAAGGTATCAAACTTCCGCCAATAATATCCTGTTTTTCCCATCTTAGTTTGGGAAACAGATTAAAAGTGATTTAATTGTTACATAAATGCATACATAATGAACTTGAATAACGTTTTGTTTTGAAAATTTCATAATTTGTTTTCGAATTAAAACATTTAAATACAATACAGAACAATTTAATTATTACACTAATATAAAATATTAGATGGATGTTAATTTTAGCTATCGATATATAGCGCTGCTGGTGAAATTCTGCCACCAGACTTACTTAATCAACCAAAAAAGCGAGATCTTATATTAATTATGTATTTATTTAATTTAATTTTGTTTGTTTAAGTCTTTGTAGAATAGAATAGTACTTAGAGCAGTAATACTTAATCCCTTTGAGTGTGACAGAAGGTATTTTATCTTCAATAAAATATTTTCCTTAGTATTAATATATATATAAAATTATTACTGCAACATTAAAATTAGTAGGAAGCCTGAACGAGCATAAGTATCAATAATATAAAGTATTACACTGGCATTCTTTATCACTGTCTAATTTAAATGTGTCCTAACAAGTCCTAACAATAAAAATATTCCTCTCTTTGATATATATATATATATATATATATATATATATATATATATATATATTTCTTACGTTAAAATAAAAATAATTCATCAGATTTATTTATTCATCAGATTGTTTTATTACTATATTGAATCTAAATAGAAAATCTCAATACTAAGGTACAGCATGCGTATACACATCGCATATCGAATGGTATGTTTTTAATCATACTCATATCCAATGTGAATAAATTATATTATTCAAGGCCTCAAATGCTCAGCTCTCTGATCTACTCTAAATTTCAAATTTCATGAGATTTTTGTTTCTGAAAATTTCCTGAAATAAACAGATAGGATTCCCAATAGTATCTATCTCACTTTAACTTTTGTGTTTTAGGTAGTTTACATTGACCTTTTTCGCCAATAAATACAAACTCGAAAATAAAGTGTCTATCACTATTCTCTTGCATAGACCATTAGTTTCTTTAGGAATATTTTCTTAAGAAAGCTCTTTTATCAACTCAGGAACTTATTTAAAAGTATTGCTTGTGTTAAATAAAAACGTTTTGTATGATATATTAATATTAATATGGAAATATTAATAACATTTTTGAATTATCACATTTTTAGCATCCAAGGTATTCACTTCATTGTAGCAGGGTAAACTGTCCTATATGTGGACGAAAGCTTATATAGGAAAAATAGATACTAGAGTTTTTATTTACCCAATGGTAAACAAACTGAAATAATTTAAAATAATAAATTCGGGTCTGGTTTATGTCATTCCGTGTAGTTAATTAGTCTCTAAATCGCTGGCAGGCAGTCTCTTAGCATAGGTGGAGTAATGTCAAAGTTATCACAATATTTATTATTTCCGAAAAAAAACAAAAGAATTTACTATTGCTATAAAAATTAGTATTAGCAAATTTTTCTCCTTAGATAAATATTTGAACCCATTTTGCTCCTGCAATCGGTAAAATTGTTTCAATGATGTATTCATACTATAGCTTCATACCAAATATATATATATATATATATATATATATATATATATATACTAAATCAGGTGGTTATCGAAGATCACATATACAAAACCTAGTATATTGTCCATATTTGGTCTAAAAATGAAAATAAAACATGTGATGTCAATATTATACACACTATAGGTTAGTGTTGCCCAAAATCGGTCTTGGTCTTGCACTTTGCAATACCAAGATAAAGGCCGCCTAACTGTTGCAAGACCAAGACCAGGACTGGTAAAAAAAATCAAGTTTTTAAATAACAATTAAGGCAAAATAGTAACTAATATTTGACAATCTTCGTTACTATATGTTAATAATTGGTATAACCAATATACTTTCGTATTCAACTATTCTAATTTTTCATTCCGGCTTAGTGACGTTTCTTCTATCTAAAAATTTACTGTATAATCTCAATAGTAATATGTAACTACAAGACTGTTACGAGATTCTTGCGCAAGATCAATACCATGACCAAGACTGAGTTTGCAAGACCAAGACTCGTCTCGGTCTCGCATTTGGGCAATATTACTATAGCTCCGAATGTCTATATCATATGGTCCGGATATCTACATCATATGGATATCCGGAACACATTAAATATTTTTTAAGAATTCACAAAGTTGATATTCGTTTTTCGAACCAGGAAAACTCTTAAATAAGAATTTCTATTGCATCCTTAACTCATAATTATTTTATCAAATTATCTTTTATCCGGATTGCGTTACCCCACTCGACCACCGACTTCCCACATTTGCAAGAACCATCGTACATGGATTTAATATTTTTCGAACTAGTATCACAAAGAAAAGTTTCATTGAACTCGGTGACCCCACGTCCGTAAGCTGCCCATTGTGAGTAATAATTGTAACTGACGTTAATAATCCGATATAAATGTTGTTTAAATACACTAAAGTAGTAAGTTGAGTAGGTTCTCCTAACTAAGAGTAAAATGTACTTACGACGAGCATCGCTCCAGAGACTAGACTTGGACAGAGACAGGGCAGATGCTGGTTATATACCGTCGGCGTCATTGTCTTGAGGAGCCTTTGTCCCCCGGATATTGGCGGAGTGACAATGGCTTGTTGACTCTGGGCGATTGGTAAGTTCGGCGACCCACCCCCGGGTCATCCCCTTTGTCTCTTCCTCTTCAGCTCCTTCATTAGTGGACAAAGCTCTGTTGGACTTACTAATCGACCAGGACTGGGGCATCCTTGATGGCACGTCGCCTCTTTTATGATAGCCCATACAAATGGATCCTATTGAAGGACCAGCCACCCACTCCTTTTAATAAGATGAGAGCTCCAGGCGTTGATGATCCCCTCTGGTTCCTTATTTCTTGTTTTTTGTAATTTTGTAATGTAGGTTTATCTTCATGGTACTTAGATAGATAGATAGAAAATAATCTTTGTGAAACATGATCCCATAAAATAACAATTATAAACAAAAACTACATTAATAAAGATTTAACAATACTTGCCATAAAATACATATAAACTTCAGTGACAATATGTAAACAATAGCAATTAAAAACATTTAAAAAAAACATAGTTGAAATGAAATGAAAGCAGAAATCAGGAAAAAATGAGAAAAACAAAGCGTGTAAATTCTTGAAACTAATTCACTTCAACCTAAATTTGATTCATACAATTTATTTCATGATTGTCCCATTTTTGGAAGTGGGAAGGAATTGTTAAAGGACGTATTTTAATGAGGGCAAGGGAGAGGCCATTCATGACACACACACACGCACACAAAAAAAAAAGCTCAAATTTCCCAATGTTCTGCTGAAACTAGAACTATTGTTCATATGAAGATTTTTAAATCTCTTGAGGTCTGCTAGCACTCCTATAAATATCTCAACACTAAGCCAGGATTCGGTTGTTTTATTATTAACTATTAAAATTATGCAGAAGTGTAGTGATTTTCATATTAATATAAAATTTTAAAAATTAACTGTAAAACAATAATAAAAAATCATAACCAAACTGGTAAACTCTGGTCATACCTCCTCAGCTGGTACAAAGAATGTTTTAAGAAATTCGGGCTTACTTTTGGTGAACAAAAATGAGGGCACTTCTTGGTATGAAATATTTCCTTGGCCTCCTGCACAGTTACCTGAATCGGTTATCATTGGTCACTTTCTTTACCATGAAAATTTCTTTCAATTTTTCTGTCTTAAAATTTGGAGGACTAATTATACTAAATTATAATGTGTCTTGTTTGTGCACATATAAACAAACAAATCTATAGGGTGTTCCGTGTGTAAAGAGAAATATTTATAGGAGTACTAGACGACCTAAAGAGATGCAAAAGCATTTATATAAACATTGGTCCTATTTCGTAATAAATTTGAGATTTTTTTTTGTTATGTATTTGTTTACTAGATAGCAATAACTAAAAATGTACTTAATTTTAGTAATTAATAATTTCTCCTCAGTAAACCCGAAAACGTGTTCATCAAATAAATATAGAGTGTGTAATTTCTAAAACCAGTTAAAGAAGACTTTTGAGCGGCTAAACAAAGTTCTGTTTTAAAAATAGATCCTTGAACCTCCACAATCTTGAAAAATGGTTTCACAAATAGAGAATTAAACTCAACTCCGATCAGCTCATGTTAGCTTCTTCCTTAAGAAGAACACATTTACGGTATCTCGGACTATACTTGGACAAAAACTCACCTGAAATATTCACACTAAAATAAAAAAACAAGAACTGAGCAGATGATACAAACAACTGTCACATCTTTTGGACTATAGATCTCCACTCAACTTACTAAACAAGCGACTAATCTACACCATCATACTAAGACCAATTTGGGTTCCGCAAAACACATACACATAAAATCGTCAATGCTTCTTGGTTTATTTCAAAGCACACAATACACATAGACATGAACATATCAAAAGTAAAATCCTACACACACAACATTTCATACTTCTACACTCAATCGTCCAAATCCACTCGTTCTGTCTTCTTGCCTGTTACCTGGTGAGCCTCAACAACGACTAAAAAGGGAGTGGCCTAGAGATCTTCTGCTGGTAAGTTAAGAAAATATCATGAATATAAGAAGATATAATAAACCCCAACACATTTGCTTGATGCGTTGCAACGCAGTGGCAAAGTTAATGGCAAATAAATTTAAAAAAAAATAGATCATAAATTATTGAATATTATTTTACTATTCTCGAACTATACAAGATACCTTTTATAATTTAGAAAAAATCTTGTTTAATATGCTTTATGTTCAAATATTTTGTGTCGAAGTTTATTTAAAACAGGTGTGTGTATGCATGCGTGTGTTTCTGTGTGTTGTATCTATGTGCTTTATTAATAGTGTTCCCCGAAATCGGTCTTGGTCTTGCACTTTGCAATACCAAGATAAAGGCCGCCTAATTGTTGCAAGACCAAGACCAGGACTGGTAAAAAAAATGGAATTTTTAAATAATAATTAAGGCAAAATAGTTACTAATATTTGACAATTTTAGTCACTATATGTTAATAATTGGTATAACCAATATACTTTGTATTTAACTCCTCTAATTTTTCATTCGGGCTTATTTAGGGCTTATCTAAAAAATTACAGTAATGTCTCAATAGTAATAAGCTAATAAGTAACTGCAAGACCATGACCAAGACTGAGTTTGCAAGACCAAGACTTGTCTCGGTCTCGCATTTGGGCAACAATATTTATTCACTCTTACAGATCCCTCTCTCTAACATATTCTGATGTTATACAATTTCTCCCTTTACTAATAATTTTTTTTTAAGAGAATGGTTTTTCATATTTTTTTTTAGGGCATGAATGTTAATTTAAGAAATTGGATGGGTTGGTATAGTAAGCATTTTGGGAACTATCAACTAATAAAAGTAGATTTTCCCACCGAAGAATATCGATAAAAAATAATTTCAGCAAAAATAATTTTGCATTTGGTCCTAAAGTTGATCATATGCTTAAGAATAGATTTGCAGATCTAAAATATGCAGCAATAATAGTATTTTCAAAGTAATTTTGTCCCCTCAACTTCAGAATTACTGACAGAAATCTATCAGGTATTAAATGAAATTGTATTTGATCTGTTTATATAACCACACTTCTTTTTGTACTTTTTTAAAAATATTTTTCAAGTTATTTAAATAGTATCTTAAATTACTATGATGGATCGAAAGCTAAAAAAATGAAAAAAAAAAAAGTTAAAACAAGTGTGATCAGTTAGAAAACTATTAATTAATTTTTCTTTCTTACAGTCTATAGATGTATATAATTATTAAAGTTTTTTTTGTTGAGGAAAATTATAACATGAAGAAATGAAAACAAAAAATCTTGGGCCTTGGATCTTCTAAATTTTAAATCCATCTCTGACTATTACCATAAATTTTATTGTAATATATTTTTCACAATTTTACTATCTGAGAAATGAAATGACTCATTGATTTTTATAAAAAATAATACCTAAATATCCCACATGCTATGTTAATCTAACTGGAGAACATGATGGAAAAGTTAAGATTCGCCTTATGTTGTATAAAAAAAAAATGTGATTTTTTTAAAATATCCTGTTAACTAAAAATGACTGCAATAAATTATTTCCAAACTTGTATACCTTGTTTTTTCATGATCTGAGATATAAACGCAATTACCTAAATACACTGTTTATTTATTTTTTTTAAAGGAAAAAAACGATAATTTTTCAAATATTTTTAATGCAAAGTGATTATAAAACTGTATTTTTCATCCAGATATCTATTAAAGGAACTGAACCGTAATTATAAGAGACGAAAAAGATTTTGATGATCCCAATATTAAGGTTTCCATGAAAATAATTGTAGAAAAACCCCAAAAATATATCTCAACGAATAAATTGGGTGCAAAAAATTGTCAAGATTTTCAGGTGCTGTGCCAAGTTTTAACTTCAAGCTTTACTAACAATATTAAAATAACATCGCAACTTTCTAATTATCAAACGGACGTATATTCGTTTTTTTTTTAATCAAGTTATTTGAAAATTACTTCCTATTTGGTTTGATTGGAAATGAGGTATTCTCATTTTACTGATAGATAAGTTTTTATTTATTATCTGAAAAATGGGAATGTTTGGAAATTTAAAGAAGTGAGAAATACAATATCAATATTTATCAGTTGACCATTGCATTATAAAGGAAGCAGATGATCCGGGGTGGTGGTTGTAAATAGGCTAAATAGTGGTAAAACTATTTTATTAAAAGAGAACATTTCGACCCGACTTTGCAGGTCTTCTTCAGGGAGGTGTGTTCAACTGGGAGTTTCACTTAGAACCGCTAAAGAACTTAAAACTTAGAAAGTTCTAAGTGAAACTCTTAGCTGAACACACCTCCCTGAAGAAGACCTGCAAAGAAACGTTGGATTTTAATAAAATAGTTTTGCCACTATTTAGCCTATTAATGAACGCCACCCCGGACCATCTCAATAGCCAAACGCTTAAATAGACCTTAATATACCATTGCGAATTCCCTGTTTTGAGGAATATTGAGCATCGCTGTATTGATGTTTACTTATTATATTTTATCTTAACGTTGGTTTAGACAATACACAAACTATAAAAAACAGAATTATATACCTTATTTTTTTACATATTTTTTTTATACTTTATATTTTATTTTTTGTTGAGAAAAAAATGCATTTAGCCTCAATTAAGGTTCATATTTGGTATGTATGAAACAAAATCATACCATATATTAAATAAAGGAAAAACAAAATTATAACAAAAGAAAGAAAAGAAAAGAAAGCGTCGAATAACAGAATAAATAAAACATGAGGCAACATTAAATAAAAAAATTAAAAACACATTCATACTTATTTACAGTCTAACATATAGATATCCAACTTATACTAGCGATATTAACGCAAAGATTTTTTTTATTTCTCTTGATACAGATATCAGATGGAAAACAAGAAACGAAAACTCTACCATAGGGAAACAACCATTCAGATATTTTTTGTTTCCATAATTTGTGAAATGTCTAAACGCACCTTTAGTTGTTTTTTATTATAAAATGAAATTGATACTATTATAAATCAGTTATTGGCTTGAGTTTGAGCCACTAGAGGATTCTCTTATTGTACGGTACAAAGCTATTATGATTCAATTATAATATAATAAATAAATGTCAGTTATGGAAAAATAAGGGAAATATTTCTGACAAGACATTGGCCATTGTCCTGCCGGACCACC